ATTGAGACCAGGGTTGATAATACATAGTCTAGCTTTTGAGGGATTGGGGAAGGGCTAGTCCTATAAAATTGAATAATAAGTGTTTGGGGTCTAAATACTTAATGAAATATGGAAATGAAAATGATGCCAAAAGTACATCCTGAATATAACCACTTCAGGATCATTTTGACAGTCTGGACAAAAAAGATAAAGTCTTTATGAGGCTAAGTGGGAAATAAAAAAAATACAGACAAATTATAATTTCTATAGATTTTCTCATAAAGTTGACAGTTCTTCAACAGTCTAGAAGGCTAGACTGTCTGCAGTCTGCAGCATTTTATGAGGCTGTATATATACTTCTGTGTTTTACATAGAATTGTCATTGTCTCACTGGCAGCCCACAACCTGAACTTTAACATACATTTTCACCATGAACTAAACTGCAGTCTAGTTAAACAGTTCAAGTTTATACAAACTCGAAAGACAGCCAAAATATAAACACATATTCATCTTGAAGAATCCTCAGATGCATTGCAGAAGTACATTGTGCATGCCATTCTAAAGAGAGACTTTTACAGAATAGAATAGAATAGAATATTTCAGTTGGAAGGCAACTACAACAACCAAGTCCCTGACCAGTTCAAGGCTGACCAATAGTTAAAGCGTGTTATTAAGGGCACTGTCCAAATGCCTCTTAACCACTGACTGGCTTGAGGCATCAACCACCTCTCCAGGAAGCCTATTCCAGTGTTTGACTAACCTCTCAGTAAAGAAATGCTTCCTAATGTCCAAAACCTTCCCTGGCACAGCTTTGAACCAATCCCACATGTCCTGTCATCAGCACCTCCTCTCCACTTCCTCTCCTCAGGAAGCTGTAGAGAGCAATGAGGTTGCCACTCAGCCTCCTTTTCTCCAAACTAGACAAGCCCCAAGTCCTCAGCTGTTCCTCACAGGACATTCCTTCTAGCCCTTTCACCAGCTTTGTTGCCCTCCGCTGGACACATTAAAGGACCTTCACATCCTGCTTAAATTGTGGGGCCCAGAACTGCACACAGTACTCCAGATGAGGTTGCACCAATGTTGAATACAGCAGGGTAATCACTTCTCTTGACTAGCTGGTTATAGTGTGCTTAATGCACCCCAGAATGTGGTTTGCCCTCTTGGCTGCCAGGACAATTCATAGAGTATGATTAATTTAAGCTGCATCTGAGGTAAGAAGTAGCCAAGCCTTTAAATAAAAACATTGCAGACAACAGATAAGAAAGGGCAAGAAAGAACCTTTCTACTGTTAAAACAAGTGCTGTCCAATCATTAATGTTGGCAAGAACACAAGATTTTCCTTTATGCCTCGTCTGCAGACTCAAATGGATGTGGTCAGGCAATCTAGCTGTACTGATTGAAGACACCATCCTCCCACCCTAGCAGACCAAACCAACCTCAGCTGGAGATTTCTCAAGGTTGGCAGAAGAAATTACTTTTTGCGTGTTGGTGACTTGAGTTCAGAGTCTGACATCTTACCTTAAATTGCTAATGAGAAGGATCAGGAGCAAAGGCAATCTGAAAGATAATCTCAGGGAAAATAGACAAGCAGCCTCTTTCATAAAAAAGCACATCCTGACAGTGTAGCCTTGACAGTCATCAATGAATTGAAGTCACAGATACGTGCATATTCCATTCTCCTAAACCCTATACAGCAACATCCAAAGGGAAGTGACATACAGCTGTGTGTCCTAATAGATCAAACCAGACAGCTGTTGGCCTGAATTATGGCTGTTAAGGCCCTCAGATTCTGGGCTTTACATGGAAGCAGCTGAGGCAGGAGTACATGTTCCCTTAAGCCAGCTTTGCTACGGCAGCAGCAGTATGTGCTCCTCTGACAGGTGAAGCAGACAACTGGGTTTTTTAAACCATCACTAAGATATGACAGATTGGATCTGTCAACACCTCAAAAGACTGAGTTATATCAATTTTATTTAGTGCATATCAGAAAGCAGATATTTTGGTACCTATAATTAGGTTGCAGGGGAAAAAAAAAGACTGATAACATAAAAATACATTTTGGATGGGGCAGAAAGTAATATTCAATGAGATCACTGTTCTTGTTTTCCAGTTTTCCTCTGTATTTAAGTGGTTTGTTGGTCCAATGTCAACAGAGATAGATCTATTTCTTTTCTTTAGTGCTTCATTTGACTTTACACATGGTGATGAAAAAGACAGATTGGACTAAGGAGCCATTAAAATTAAAAAAGCAACTCAAAAAAGGGCAATATAAAGCTTTGATATTCTCTAGTTGCAAGTTCTAGACTACTCATAGGCAGAGTCCCTACACTTAACAGCTTAATATATTGATCTATTTTAACTACTCTAGATATTGCTGGGATGCCTATACCTCTTTTCCTAGGGAGTTCTCTATTTGTCTGATACCCAAACATTTATTAAAACATGACCAACTCCTTTCAAAACTCAGTACCCAGAGATAATAAGATATGTCAGCGATAATCTACAACTACAAAGAGTCCTGTACAAAGGAGAAACATCTGACAACTAGAAAATATGGAAGAGCTACAATGGTATGAAATATTTAGCTTCAATTGCAAGTTTCTGAAAAGAAGTCCTGATTACCTACTTGGTAATTTTCCATTAAATATGCTGATTTTCTCATTGAATATATTATTATTAAAAAAGGTTTTCTTGGGATATATTTAAAAACATCAAATAGCAGTTTCCTTTAAGTTTACTCTTAGTGTTCTGTACAAAAGATAAGAATCTGATTTATATATAATTAGATAATTATTTCACCAGAACATATTAATGTCTTGAAACACAATTTGAGTAATTTTAAATTCTGGTGATTTTGTAGGAACTTCTTCTATATACATCATGTGAGAGTGTGGGACTGACAAAACTTTGCGACTTCTTTAGTACTACAAACTCCTAACTAGGGATATGGATTAGGCAGCACAGCTCAGCCTCTCTGAGTAGGTGACCTCAAGGGGAAGATGATTAAGACATAATAGTATTTTCATAAGAGACCTCAGTTTCTAAAGTGTCTTAAATCCAGACATGAGGATGAGGTCCTGCCTAGATTAAACAAACATAAATGTAAGTGAATAATAGAATTAAGAAAGTGCTTTTCATGTCCCACAGTCTTTGATTCTCTTGAAGTTGTACAGAATGAGAAGGAATTGGGTTTGGCTTGTAGTTTTAAAGTCCCGCAAAAAGAAATGCACATGTAGGCCAGAAAATGCGAAGAAGCACAAACATTTTACCCTCCCTCCCCTTCACCTTCACTCCCTATTCATTCTTTCTTCACAAAACCTGTTTTCCCTCCTCTTACCTGTGTTTTTTTGGTCAGCTCTCTGCACCTTTATTCAAATGTTTCTCTCTCCAGTCCTGTTCTATTTTGACTGACTATTTTGCATTTTCAAGGATAAAAAGCTAATGAGGAAAGAAAGGTGTTTTGAGGGTTAAAAGCTATTTTACTTATGTTGAGGGACAGGTACTTTATATTTAGAGAACTGCCTACCTCAGGCAAGCTTGACAGGCACCTTCAAAATAAGTCAGTCTTCCAAAATTATCACCTCTCTATTCTCAAAAAAGAAAGAATGTTTTCGACTTTTCTTGGAGATCATATTGCATTTTGCCTTGCATGGCAGGCCTTCCAAGATAAATACAATTTTATTCTAGCTGGGCACCTAGGTCAAGCACAGATTATGAAGCTTAATAAATAAGGAGAAATCTGGAAAATAAACGTCTGATTTTAGCTTCATAAAGACCTCTCTCTGTATGTTACACCTTATGCTGGTACTGTTTTTCCCTCTGCCTGCACGAGGTGGTATACTTCTTTCAGGTAAGCTATTACTGATGGTAATTTTTTGCAAGTTATTCCATTAAACTTTTGTGTAACAACTTTGTTATTTAGGTCATAGCATGATAAACCTTTTTGGTCAGTAAAAATGCCATCCTCCCCCAGCTGCCCATTCCCCTTTCTGCACTTTCTTCCCCCACCTTGTTGACACACAAGTTGTCATTTGTGCCAAACGTGCAGTAAATCAAAAAGGAGAATTAGCTATGTTTATCTGCTTTTTCTAGCTTAAACTGTTGAACAGCTGTCTCAGCCCATAACAGAAAAAGCCAAATGTCTGACTAAGCAATTTAGTGCTATTAGATTTGTATTCTAGAATACAGAGTCTAAATATAAAACAGAGACAGAATTATGTGGGCTGAGGACAATACACAAAACTGATATTTGGAAATACGGGTGTCTGCCAGGTAAGTGTTTCTTGCATTCAGCCATTAGGCAGTGGAAAACTACCTTTAGGAGATTTGCTTGTCATTGCTCTGTACTATATATAAACAGCATTAAAATCTATTTCTTACAAAAGGAAAAATAAAGACGAATTTTGCTCTACAGATGTGCATTTTTTCCCTTTTATTCGAGTGCAGATGACCCCAAATCATTCCTTTCTTTTCTGTCTTCCAGTCCTATCTTCTTGAAATTGAACTAGTCTTCATCTCATCTTTCTCACTGAACTATTTTGAAGGCACACAGGGAATGTTTTCTTTCTAACCTTTCCTCTGCAAAGCACACAATAACAAGGGCCCTTGTCTTCGGAAGTGAGGAAAATGGTGATGGTTTAAGAATATAGTCCTAGTTCCCTGCTGTTTAACAGTCAGCTTTAATAAAGTGTTCAATTTGCAAAGCATAAATCAGTATCTCTGATGTGACCCTTGCAGCTGCTAGAGACTAACGTGTGCCTCTATTCTGGTGCTTATTGCAGCTATGTCCTGCTCTCACCCCTGGGTTCTGTTCTGTGGATAACTCTTGCTCGAACAGTTTCTCTGCCTTCTAGACAGTGCAGTCACTGAATCTCTTTACCAAACTCTCAAATGAACCTCCCCCTACTGTGCAGCCCCAAACCATGGAACTGGGTTCCTATAGCTGCACAGAGCTATTATCAAGCACATATAGAGTATAAATGAAGTTTAGGAGGAGTAAATTGAAAATATTTACTGTTTATCCCTATTTCAATGTAATTCTATATAGAATTTTGGCAAAGTTATTAATCAAAACAGGTTTTATTTATGTTGTTTTTTTCTCCTGCAGTCTGTTGACTGCAAAGTGATTTTTGAGGGAGGAAAAAAAAAGCACAATGAATTAAAATCTCGATCTTTAGGTAAAGTGCACTGGCTAATGTAGCATAACTGTTCTCATCTGCAAACAAAAAAAGCTACCAGGTCTCTCTCATCATGTACTATTATGTCATGGAATGCCGCATCTAGAAAAACTTTGCTTTAACTGGAATGGAATGGTTTGTACCTCTTCCCTTATAACTGTGATGCCACAGATGGCTGCAGATCTGCTGCACATTCATTGGCATAGTTGCCTCCACATTTTAATGTAAGAAAGTTTTCAGTGGAGTTGCAAGCTCTTAAAAAACAATAGTCGGGATTTTCTTAGTGTTGTGGTTTACTACCACTGGTTTCTTAGATTGTTAGGTACAGTCCTGTGCTCTAGCATCACACTGACACTGAGCAGCTCTGGAGGGGGACTTGGCACCAACACATTGTTGCAGTGAAGGATCTGAGATTAAAGAAGTGTCTGGACTTGAAGTGAAAACTATTTCTAGCTGCTCAAGATGTAAAATGGCTGTCTGGCCAGTTGAGTTATGGAAGCCTAAGTTCATGGATGTGACCGACATTCACGTGATGGGAAGTCCAGCTAAGTGACTGCAGTTCTCTCATCCATAATGGGACCTGATGTGCTGTCCGATGATCTGGAATCAGGATAGATCTGTTAGAATCTCTTTTCTACTGTGCTCCAGTGACTCTTAGTACATCTAGAATGAATTTTAACTGCATGCAACTAAACTTCCAGGTTTCTGGAAAGACAGTCCCAGTGCTTTCACTGCAAGTTTTTAGTAACACAAGACATGAAGTTTGGGACTTCCAAATTAAGGATTGAGACAGTGAAGGCACATCCACTAACATAGTGAATGTTGACTTAGATATGTGTGTCTTCATTTCTTTCCATATATCAGATATGCAGCCCTATGCAGTCTGAATAAACATTCAGATAAAGTTATTGTAGAAAGATGTATTGACTGACTTTTTAGAAATAATTCTGCCCAGCAATCCCTGCTAGATCAATAATATGTTTAGCTGATACTCTCAATAGCTGTGCCTGAAAGTCAGTTTGTTACTGTTTAATAGCTTTTATTGGCATAGACTATGTGAAATTGTACGCAGTTCTATAATTGATTTTTTTTGTTGCATTCAAATTTGATTATATGCCATTGTAATTTTTTTGAGCAAATTAGTGAACTGTCATTTCTATCCAGAGAAACTGAACTGAGAACCATGGAACACGTTTTTTGTCACATAAATGTTGTGCAACAATAAATAATACGAATTCACTATGAAACAGTCAATACAAAGTACTAAAATCAGAAAACAATGGTTGGTTCATTTTAAACAAAATGACAGCCTCGGTGTGCCTGAACTTGTGAATATTTGATGAGGCAAGGAGAAAGAAATATGAGAAGGGGACTCCATTTTTAAACAGAAATTAATTGTTAAAAAGGTCTGTACAATACATTTTAACCAAGCTGTTGCCAGGGCCCTCAGTGGGCCTGCAGACTGTAACCATAATTTTCCATATGCCTTCTCTGAATCTCTTCCTCATCTTCCAGGCTTTGGCTACTTCTGTTCGCAGGCAACTATGGTGTGGAGCAACTGAGTAATGTTGGATCAGACTTTAAACAGCCAGGTCAGGAGAAAGCTGTGAGAAACCTCAGATGGGACTAGGATGCACATTTCCATCCATGCACACTCCACCCCTTGGCTCAGGAGCTGCTTTTCAGCTCAGGACTTGATGTTATGTGGATGCATCTGTGCTGATCCTGCATCGCTGAGAGGAGGAGTAAGACTAACAACAGGACAAATATCAGCTGCACAGGAAGGCAATTTATTTGTATTCCTGACTGACTTTGCTCATTTAAGCAACCACATAGCCAGTTTATTTGAGTAAAGTCATGCAGGATTAGGGACTAGGGCCGTATGAAGTAATAATGAATACATGAGTCATTCATGCAAGGAAGGTATGTACAAAGGGCAAATTATTCCAGATTACAAAACTATTTAAGAGTGGAAGTGAAAACATCTTCTTATTCCCTTGTTGTGCTATGATTACGTGAGATCAAATTGCAAATAAATCAGGTAGGATAAACAAAATCTACATATTGTTGTATATGGTATTTAGTAAAAAGCAGCTTACTAACTCTTCATGTAAAATATAAAAACTCCAGCAATTATGCCAGCCAATGTTTCATTAGGCACAAAATACCTAACAGATACAGAAACACTGCCTTAAGAGATTCTTGGGAGACTTATGAATCACCTTACACCATGGCTGCACCTGGGTAGTCAGGCTGGTTACTTATTTAAATCTCAGGTAACATTCTGTTAACAGGTGGTTCTTTATAGCTGGAGGGAAATTTGTGAGCCTTTGAGCTGAGTACCGAGCCAAGATGAAGACCAGGCTGGGGGCTATCAGTTGTGTAAAGCCAAATAATCTACCATGTGGGATTCACAGGGTGCCAGTTATGTCAGGAAAATAAATAAATAAAAAAGCTACAGGAGTAAGAAAGCCAAATTGTACTTGGCAGTTGCACCGGGATAGACATGTAATTTCTTGGCCCCACTGTCTTCACCCCTTCTATCTGCACTGTAGAGACACTAATGCTCTGTGTGCTGACTTTCTGCTATTTTAGCTGGTGCACTGTAGAACTCTGCCATGTTGCAGCACAAAAAGATACAGAGACAGACCTTGCTGCTACTGATCTATACAGGGCATCTGTACAGCCCAGTGCTTGTCTGCTTTGTGAGTGCCACCACACACAGCTTGTACCTCAGCTTCTGACCTTAAGACAGCAGGGCAGCTGCTTGTTTCCTGTGTTCATCCTTTCTCTACATAGTAGGTCATAATAAGTGATCCTATAAAGGTTTAAAACCACATATTTTTTGACATCAGATCATTATCTAATTTTAGAACATTGTAGCAGGAGTTTCAAGTGAGATCTTTTCTATAAACCCCATTTCCTATTCTTTTCCACCCATAATACTTAGCGCAGGATGGAGGGCAGGTCTAGCATTGCAGTCTAGTCCCCACTCTGTGATGGAGGTAGGACAGCTTCCCTGCTGCCTCTGGTTGCTTTTAATGAGATGTAATCTTATTTCTCACCAGCAGTGGGCTGTTTTTTTGCCTTTACCACCTAGTTTCGTGCTGTTCCATTGTTGTGTAATCCCAATGTACGCAAAGCCTCTCTGCACTGTGTGACAACCTCAGTAACCTTTGTATACAGTATAATTTTGTATACAGTCTAACCATACCAGCAGCATCCAGACCCTCTTATCAGCATACCAAGCCAGCATGGAATGCCCTGTGTGGAACTGATCTGCCACAGCTAGTTTGTAACTCAAGGGCGTAGGGCTTTTATTTATCTTATCTCCAGAGGATAAAAACTCCCATGAGGGTGTTGCAACTTTCTAGTTTGTTATTCAGTGGTAGATTCTATGCATATTAACCTGCTGAGTATTGACACCTAGGACAAATTTAGCATCCAGAGTAACTGTGACTGATTTCAATGTTATTTTTTTTTGTTTAGTTGGAAATCATATACTTGCCATAAATCGTAAAAGGACTCGGGGTTCTGAAACAGCCTTCAAAGATGGCAGTGAGCCAGCTTTAATGCCATTCTGATAGGGTCTGAGTATGTAAATCAAACCTTTTCAGCATGCTTAACATCATGTGTTTCAAAGAAAAAAAAATCATCAATGCCCAACAGCATCCTAATTTGCAAGCACAGAATTTTTTTTTCTATTAAATTTTTTTGCCTGTTAACACTTGTGTCAGCAGCTATAACAGAACACAGTAACAGGAGGAAAGACTCCTGAATGCAACTTTATAACAAGAACATGACATTCATTAGCAAAGAATGACTTTCACTGGGGATCAATTTAGTGTGCTGCAAAGGAGGAAGCTCCTTTGGCGCTAGAGGGAGTTGCTGTTTCCTAACAATAAACCTGTCCCATGCAGCTGAAGTTCAGACATATGGGGACTTTATTGGTTTACGAAACTTGTGTGCAAACTAACTGAGTGAAAGACCAAGACAGAGACAAAGGGAACATTAGACTGAACATTTCTGAACAAGATGTGGCAAAAAGCAAAGTTTACAGACAGTAAATGCATCACTTTTTATTGTGATTCTTAAAATTAGTAAATGAGTTGAATTAATATCTCACTTTGGACTTAATTTAAATCTCCACCTTTTCTGTTTAAGAAAGACTGAGATGTTCTTCATCAGCAAAATCTAAAATCTAAAAATCTGTAATTTAGGGATAGCTTCATTGGTTTTAGCAGCTAACTTAGGTCCCTGCTCAACAGAGATATTTCCAAAAGAGCTCTGAATTCCAAATTCCTGAGTGATGCCTCAGTTGGTTACTTGGGTGTGGGAGAAGCAACAGAAAAAAAATCCCTGCAAGTGTTTACAAAAATAACCACGAACTATGGTGATGTTAACAATTTAATCATTAGTTTTAATTTTCATAGAATCATAGAATCCTTTAGGTTGGAAAAGACCTCTAAGATTGTTGAGTTCAACCATTAACCCAGCACTGACAAGTCTACCCTAAACAATGTCCTTAAGCATTTCACATGCAGGGATAGTGACTTGACCACTGCCCTGGGCAGCCTGTTCTTTAATTTTGGATAGAAATAATTCATTGTTTGCAATGGTTATATATACTCACATGGTTTTCAGACCTAAAATAATGTCCTAGAGCTTGAAGTATTCATCCCCAAAGCTCATGCAATTTGGTTGCTGTAGATAGGGTTGTGCAGTCATAAGTGATGGGTGTGTAAGATGCAATCATATTGATTAAGAAATAGGGTGAAGAAAAGTTGAGTTTTGGTCACTACTGATAGGAAATAAACATAGTAAATATCAATAAATAGATATCGATAGATAACACCAGATATCAGTAAGTATCACTGGATATCTTCAGTAGAAGAATTTTAATTTTCAGTTTTAATTCTGAATATGAATAAGGCATAAATCCACTTTTATTTATGTAAGTCTACCTTGAGAATCAACAGCATGCCACAAAGTACAGTCTCAAAAGAAAATACCTACGTTTTTATGTAGAGGAGAGGGTCTAGCACTGTTTGATAGCCTATTTTGTATCCATTTGTTTAAAAAGGAAAATTCTTTACAATTATTAGCATAAAGAGATTATTCTCCCTATAGTTGTCCCCATCTCTGCAAACTTGTCTCCTTTGCTCTGGTATTCTACATAAGAATGGATACCAAGATGGTGTAGAAAACATTTGGATTGAAGAATAAATTAACACTGTAGATAATGAAACCTCTTGTTGTTTGTATCTATTTTCATAACTGCTATGAAACTTGCTGCACATTTCAAAACAAATATTATTAGATCTCTTAGACATTCCAATCCTCATATTTCCTGCTAGTAGAGATGATGCCTTGTCTTTTTTTGTCTGTGTACCAATAAAGTCTATGGCATGAATAATTAATCTGCTGTAATAACAGTGAACTTAGTAGTTTATGGCTTAGCTTTCAAATTTGCAAGAGTATTTATTCAAAAGTTTTAAATTGTTTAATGCATTGGCCTTGAGGGCACTAAAATGTACACAACACACACAAGCTTTGACCATTCAACACGCATCATCAGTAATACAATTAAAGTCTTCTGA